TGCAAGAACCTGACCTTAAAGTCAATCACAAAGGAAAAATATTCTACGAATCCACTTATAGGGAAGTGCCTAGAATAGTCAAATTCATAGAGACAGAAATAATAGCTGCCAGGGGCGCCTGGGTGGCTCAGTTTGTTAAGTGACTGCCTTCAGCCCAGGGTCATGATCCTGGAGTCCCAGGATCGAGTCCCGCGTCGGGCTCCCTGCTCAGCGGGGAGTCTGCTTCTCCCTCTGACCCTCTTCCCTCTCGTGCTATCTCTCATTCTCTCCCTCTCAAATAAAATAAAAATAAACAAAAATCTTAAAAAAAAAAAAAAAGAAATAATAGCTGCCAGAGGCAGTGGGGAGGGAAAAATGGAGTTACTGTCCAACTGATAGAGCTTCAGTTCAGGGAAAATGAAAAAGTTCTGGAGATGGATGCAAGGTGATGTGAATGTGCTTAATGCCACTGAACTATAAAAACCACTTCAAGAGGGTTAAAATAGGGGTGCGTGGGCGGTTCAGTCATCAAGCGTCTGCCTTCCACTCAGATCATGATCCCAGGGTCCTGGGATCGAGCCCCCCATGGGGCTCCCTGCTCCACGGGAAGTCTGCTTCTCCCCCTCCCACTCCCCCTGCTTGTGTTCCCTCTCTCGCTGTGTCTCTCTGTCAAATAAATAAATAAAATCTAAAAAAAAAGAGGGTTAAAATAGTAAATTTTATGTTATGCATATTTCACCATAAACACACAAAAAACCTGACCTTTACCCTACCACGTGCATGTCACAGTTTAAGCCGCACCAAAACCATGATCTCGATCTGTAACCCTCAGAGCTCGAACAATCACAAACCCACGGCACCTCTTCAGACCTTTGAAACGTGTAAGAGGAAACGTAGAGACTCCTACAACGCCCAAGGCCACAAACAGGGAGGAGCGGCCAGCAGGCAGGGGGTCAGAGGGTCAGGAGGAGCCTTAGCTATGCATTGCTAGCCCCTAGCTTGCAAGCGAGGGATACCTGAAAACTCCCCATCGATGGCGAAGAAGTCGGCCTCCTCTATGGCCTGGTACACTTTGTGAAGATTACTCTTAAAATCTGCGGAGAAACCGAGAAGAGGCTCAGAGACGGTGGCCTGGCTTCCTGCCCAAGAGCTCCTAACGGGAGAGGAAAGAAGGGCTGGGGAGATCGGGCAGGAGGAGGAGGAGGACAAGTCCCAGAGGGATAAACCAAGACGGAAAGCATTAAGTCCCCGACGGGTGCACGGTTGGAAGGGGTCGAGTCCCGAGTGGGTGCATGGGCCTTAGGAGGACAAGTCCCGGGGGGCGCTCGGGCCACAGAGGCACACGGCCCTGGGGGATGCCCGGGCAGGAGGACAAGGCCCCTAGGGGTGCACGGGACAGAGAGGGACAGGGCCCCCCAAAGCTCAAAGACTTAAGGGGAAGCAAACCCCTGGGGGGCTGCCTCAGTCCCAGGCCCCGGCAAGCAAACCGGCCCTGGTCTGGGCCTAGCAGGCCGGGTGAGGGGGGCCGTGGGGCTCGGGGAGGTGCACGGAGGACACGCACTGCTCCTGATTATCTCCATTCTGCAGAGTGGCCGGAACCCCGGCCCCACCCGGGCCCGCCTCAGCCGTTCTACTCGCAAAGTTCCACGGGGACCGCAGTAGCAGCGGAGGTAACAGCGGCGGAGACCGCGGTGGCGACTTCCGGAAACAGCGCGCGCCCGCGCGCATCACGTGAGCCTGCGTCAGCGACGGGGGCGGAGCCAGGCTGGGCTCCTTTCCCTCCTTCCAGGGACAGAGGAGGGGCGTGGCTATGGGAATCCTCAAGACGTGGCCTAACTGGCGGGGCCAGACCTAAGACCGTAACTTCCGAAGAAATGTCCCTGTCTTGACACCCAGTTGGTGAGCATATATTCCCTGGCAATATTATGTGCCAGGCACTCTGAAACGGATGGGGATACGGTGATTTACAAAGGAGACAAAGTCCCTAACCCGTTGGAGCTTAACTTGGGGTAAAAGGGGAAAGTGAAGGCAGGAATCAAACTGCCACTTTAAAACACAATCAGCGCTATGAAGAGAAAGAGCCCGGTGCTGCAATAAGAATAATGGGGGGGAGGGGTGGAAAAGAAGAAGAAGAATAGGAAGGAGGGTTACTTAAGAGAGGTGAAGAGCATGCAAAGTTGAGACCGCACTAAATGGGACTGGGGAACGAAATAGATGAGATCTTGCTGTTTTGGTTGGTTGGGAGTATACCATTGATCCTCAGAGCCTACAACGGTGTTGATGCACAGTAGATGCTCAATAAACATAGTTTTAGTGAATGAATTCACTTTCATCTTTCGCAAAAGCCGACTCTGAAGTTGATTAGAAGGCCTGCTTTCAAAGGCTAGGTCTGCCATTACTTAGGTCTGGAATGTATTCAAACTTATTAAACCTCAATTTTTTCATCCACTAAATAAGGTTGAAGATAATTGGTGATAATGTTTGTGAATTATAGAGTACTGTATAAATAAATGTAAGATATTAGAGTTCTGACTTGTCACAATTCCCCTGCATTCACACCTCTTAGTTTGAGATTTATTGAGTACAAAATCCATGTTTTTGGAAAAAAAGATAACCATTTTCCCCAAAAAAGTATTAGGTACTCTAAAGAACACAAAAGAGTCTGGACATATTTTCCCTACCAGGTCCCTCCACAAAGTTCATTTCCCTTGCCTCATGCAATGGAAATTTACATATAGGTAATCGTTCACCATCCCTAGTGTGAACAGCAAGGAATGAATGTGAATTCTAGAGTTCAGATGGAATGGGAAGGAGAAAAATATGATAGGTAGTCAAATATCAGGCTTGAAATATCTCTGCCTTCTTGTTTCAGCTTAAAAAGTCTAAAGATTTTATTTATTTATTTGAGAGAGGGAGAATGAGAGACAGAGAGCATGAGAGGGAAGAGGGTCAGAGGGAGAAGCAGACTCCCCGCTCAGCAGGGAGCCCGATGCGGGACTCGATCCCGGGACTCCAGGATCATGACCTGAGCCGAAGGCAGTGGCTTAACCAACTGAGCCACCCAGGCGCCCTCAGCTTAAAAAGTCTAATACAGAAAGTACTAGACACATGGCCACTTAAATTTAAATTTTAAGTAACTTAAATAAATTTAAGTAATTTAAATAATAAAACTTACTACAAAGCTATAGTAATCAAAACAGAGTGGTATTGGCATAAAGAAAGATCTAGAACCCAATGAAATAGAGACCCCCAAAATAAGCCTTTGCATAAATGGATGTATGATATACAGCAAGTATGCAGAGATCATTTGATGGGAAAAGAACAGTCTTTTCAACAGTAGTATTGGGAACACTAGATATCCACATGCAAATAATGAAGTTGGATCCTTACTATATAACATATAAAAATTAACTCAAAATAGGCCAAACATCTAAATGTAAGAGTTCATGAAACTCTAAGATTGTTAGCATAAAACATAAGGCAAAAACTTCATAATATTGGATTTCGCAATGATTTTTTTCAAATATGATACCCAAAGCACAACTAACAAAAGAAAAAATAGATGAATGGGACTACATTAAAACTTAAAATATTTGTGAATGAAAGGATTCTATCAACAAAAAGTCAACCCATGGAATGGGAGAAATCATATATCTGATGAGGGGTTAATATCATTAATATATAAAGAACTCCCACAATTCAATGACAAAAAAATCTGATTAAAAAATAGACAAAGGACTTGTATAAACATTTCCCAAAAAAAGGTATACGAATGGCCAATAAACACATGAAAAGATGCTCAACATCACTAATGTTAATCAAAACCATATGAGATAACCTTTCACATCCTTTAGTTAAAAAGTAAAAATCCTTGTGTGCTGTTGGTGGGAGTGTAAAATGGTGTGACCACTGTGGACAACAGTGTGGGGATTCCTAAAAAATTAAAAATAGAATTATCATATAATGCAGCGATTCCTTTTCCAGGCATACACCAAAAAAAAAAAATTTGAGAGCAGAGGTTTGAATAGGTATTTGCACACCCATGTTCTTAGGAGCACTATTCATAATTGCCAAAGGGTGGAAGCAACCCAGTATCCATCAACAGATGAAGAGGTAAACAGAAAGTCTATATACTTAGAATGGAATATTATTCAACCTTAGAATTCCAACACAAGCTACAAGGTAGATAAACTTTGAGGATATCATGCTAAATGATATAAGCCCATCACAAAAAGACAAGTAAGGTGTGATTCCATTCATAGGAGGTACTTAGAGTAGTCAGATTCACAAAAATAGAAGGGTGGTTCCCAGAGGCTAGAGAGAAAGGGGGGTGGGTGGGGAGGATGGGTTGGTGTTAAACGTTTAACAAGTACGGAGTTTCAGTATGGGAAAGTGAAAAAGTCCTGGAGATGAATGCACAACCATGATGTCACTGAATTGTACACTTAAAAAATGGCTTAAATGGTAGACTTTGTTATGTATCTTTTACCAAACACACACACGCTGACCACCTAGTGCCAAATTATTCTCCAGAAAATGAGTTCACACTCTTATCTGCACTAGCGCAGGACCAGTCTTTTAATTCTTTGCTAATTTGATCTGTAGGGGGTAAAAATGTCATCCCAAATGATCAGTTTATCAATCTCCAGGCCAGTGGTTTAAAACAGATAATCAGCATGAGTTCTCAACGGACCAAGACATTGGGAGAAAAACACTGGTGATAAAGTCATTTTAATTCCGGTTCTTAATACTGCAGATGGAACTTCACCCAAGGTCCTGGGATTTTTCTGCATGAGATACTAAGGCAAAAAAAAAAAAATTATGGGGACTACAGTGCGGTCTTATAATATTAATTTCTGGGTAAAGCTGTTTCCTCCAGACACAGAAATAGCCCACCGGGACGACCCGACCCAGACACCAGCCACACCCTCGGCGTGTAACGCTACCGCCCCAGGTCTGTCCCTGGAGAGTAAAGGGCGGGGACCAGAGGCGGCACGCATGCGCCAAAGTCCTCGGCCGGGGAGTGGCCGCTCTAGGCAGCGTGGAGGTCGCGGGGTTGAGAGGGTTGGGAGAAGAGTGAGGTTTCTCCTCTATGGTCGCGGGCCCGGGGCTTGCCTCTCCTCAGTCAGTCCTCTGCTATTTCCGGAAGTGAAGTGGCCGCCTTCTCCTCTGCTTCCGCGGGGGTCCGGGAGGCGGCCGGCGGCGGCCGGGTGGGCCCGGAGGGAGCCGAGTGGTAAGCCCCTGCATGGCTGGGGAGGGCATGGGGGAGGCCCGGGCTCGATTTCGGGGCGGCGTGTGGAAGACGGCTGTGGCCCAGGGTTCCCCACCCAGGCCCGGGTCCTGAGAAGCCACGTTCTCGGTCACTGGGCGCGGACCCCCGGGTGGCCAACTTCCCCCGTCCATTCCCGAGAGCACCACGTCTGCACGGCCGGTCGCTGGGCCTGGCTTGCGTCCCCTTGGGGGTCCGGGTCAGAGCTGGCCGCTCCAGGACTTCCCCGGGGCGGGAGGGAGGGGGTATCGTTCCCATACACCTTGGAGGGGGGACGAAGAGACGCTCGCCCCGCAAGAGTCCCTGACGCAGCCTGTGGCTGGCTGCGCGTCCAGAATTGATCAGGCTCCTGATAGACTGAGCTTCGGGTCTGATTCGGGAGGCAGTTCCTGCCCCAAAGCGGAACGATTGCTCCCGTTATAAAATAGGGTAACGGACACGCACAAAAGGGACAGTGAAATCCCAAAAGACGCACTGGGGTTAGGCTAGACCCCAGCTCTTGTGATTCCGTGCTCATGGCTCCTAATGGGAACTTGTGCAAAAGGGAGTTTTCTTTAAAAGAAAAAATAAAAAGGGGTACGTGAGAATCAGCTTGTGTCTAACGGAGGATCTTTGGCGGGGCAGGAGGCGGCCCTGTCAGTGCCCAGGGCGGCTGCCCCCCAACTTTGGTGGAGTGGAGAAAGAGCCCAAACGCTGTCATGCCCTGAGCTGTCGCCGTTGGGTTCTCCCCGCTAAAGCCTATTGGTCGGTCCTTTGGGGGGGTGGTCTCGATGTCACCCTCGGAAAGGCCAATAGGAAGAAGGTTTACTCTCCTCTGGGCACACGCCAGAGCCGGCACCGAGCGCACGTGCCGAGATAGATGGTTTGGTTTGTTCTTGTCGGGGCTGTTTTGTAAACAGCCAGTCTGGGTGTCTGATGTGTTCTGCGTTTCCCTGCCTGTCTCCATAAACGTGTTGGAAAACCTGTTTGCTCTAGTGCTTGGCGCTGACGCTACTAAGTCTTACTATTCAATAGACTCTTTGAGTACCTATGGATAGAGTTTGTCATTTAAACCTCCTTGAAAGTAGATAACTATTATCTTGAATTTATGAGTGGGAAATAGGAGGCTCAGGGAGAATAAATGTGACCTGTTTGGAACCCACGTCTTTCTATTCCTAAGAACATAACGTTTTAAGTATACAAGCCTCTCCAGGGAAATTACAGTCTGGGAAGTGAAGAAACACACACAAATAAATGTTATATTAATGCACAGAGGCAGGAAGGGTTAATTTGGACGTGAGGAGAGTTACTCATTAAAGACTTTAAAGTTACAGGGGATTTGGATCTTGTCAGTTGAACACTTTTGACCCAGTGATGGTGTAGAGCTGCATTACAGATGACGGGAACAGTGTGATAAGGAAAAATGCCCAAGGAGCAGGAATTAAGAGATGGGACCAAAGTGTCGTCTGTGACTAGATGAGTAGTAGGAGATTATCATCATTAATAGTAATAGCTAACATTTATGTTGCACTTATGTGCTGGGCACGATTCTGAGTGTGGTGCATATATCCATTTAATTCTATCAACACCCCTATCAGTAATGTGGCATTAATATCCCCATTTGACAGATGAGGAAACTGAAGCACAGAGATTAAGTGACTTGCCTGAGGTCCCACTATGAATTGGTGGAGCTGGGATTTGAAACCAGTCATTCTGGCTCCAGACTTTGTGCTCTTACTAAAAAGTTGTGCTGGGGCTCCTAGCTGGCTTAGTCCATAGAGCATGAGATGCTTGATCTCAGGGTCATGAGTTCAAGCCCCACCATCGGCGTGTAGCCTACTTTAGGAAAAAAAGTTGTGCTGTTTTGTTAGCGGGCCATAAAGATTCTTAAATGACAGGCTTATAACTATGAGCTTTAATTTCTTATGGTCAAGAAGGTTTTGAGCAAAGGAACTGTTTGATTAGAATTTTGCTCCAGGAGGATGATTCAGGCATTGGACAGAGGAGGTACTGGAGAGAAGAGGAAATGAGATTAGAAGTGTTTTATTTTTTGCTCACACCTTACCCATACCTTGTCTGAAACATATATTTAGGTATATACATTTATTAGTATGTAACAGCTCTCTAGGCCCCAAACCTCTGTTTGCATAGAATCTCCTAAGGGGCTTGTTGAAAATGTACATTCCTGGGCCTCTCTCTCAGATACCCTTATTCAGGTTCACCAAACTTCAGGTGTTTCTGTCAGATGTTCTACAGAAATTACTGTCATAGGGAGTCAGATACTTGTTGATTTGATTTTCATCTACAAATATCCAGAACCCATCTTTGTGCCAGCTTCTTCAGGAACGATGATAGAATTCTGTGGCTTGATACCTGATCTCAAGGAGCTCAGGATGTGATTTGGAGAGGGAAAGACTGCTCAAACTGATAATTGCAGTATGCTTGCTAACCAGTATTTTTATCACAAGTTATTGGACATCTACAGCATTTAACACAGGACAGGTCGTTGAGTATATGCCACATAACAGAAACGAAAGCGGACGGTCTCACGGAGAGCCAAGACACCTGTCTAGTTTGTTCTCTTGCCCAGCACCACTCAGGAGCAATAAATCTTGAGGCCTCAAAGTTCAGGCAGCAAGTCAACCTCCTGTGAGCTAGCTAGCTACCTTTGCCCTAGTAATTATTTCTGACTCCTTCCAAAAAGAAAGTCTGTCTAGGGGCGCCTGGGTGGTTCAGTCGTTAAGCGTCTGCCTTCGGCTCAGGTCATGAACTCTGGGTCCTGGGATTGAACCCCACATTGGGCTCCCTGCTAGGCAGGAAGCCTGCTTCTCCCTCTCCCACTCCCCCTGCTTGTGTTCCTTCTCTCGCTCTCTCTCTCTCTGTCAAATAAATAAATAAAATCCTTAAAAAAAAAAAAAAAGAAAGAAAGAAAGTCTATTTGGACAAGAGTTGGTAAGAGCCCAGAAATGCTTCTCGTATGAATGAAAGCCAATTTCTGCCACCTACAAGAAATGCACATATTATTCTCTCTTTATTGCCATTTCTGACCCTTGCCTTGCTTACATTTGGGCACATTTCTTTTTATTTAACAGTCACTAGATGTGTGCAGTCACTCTTCGGACATTTAAAATGTCTATAGTATTCTATCAGTGTTTATAGTGTTGTCCCCAGAAGTAGACCCGTGGTGCCAAAAATAGGCATTGCTATTTCTTTCTTTTTTTTTTTTTTTAAGTTTGTGTGTTTATTTATTTAAGTGATCTCTACACCCATCATGGGGCTGGAACTCATGATCCTGAGAACAGGAGTCACATGCTCTTCCAACTGAGCAAGCCAGACACCCCCCCCACCCCTGTTTGTGTTGTGACTGTTCCTGCTTATTTATCTCAATGGGAACCCATGCTCACCCTAACAGCCATAAGCTGGAGTTTATGTTCCAAAATGCAGTGTTGTCATATCCTAGTTTATTTCCTTCAGTTTGGACTTCTCAACTTCATAGTAGCAGCATAAAGGAGCAAATTAGTCCTTTGATCCATTAACTATTACTGATTACCTCGTTGGAATAACGTAGTGTTACGAGGTCAGGCTTTAACTCAGACCATGATTCAACACCTGGCTCTGCCCTATATTAATGAGGCCTCCATTTTCTCTTCTGTAAAATGGAGATGAGCGTAATAATTATCTCATAGGATTACCTTTCACATTATAGGGACTCAGTAAATATTAGCATTGTCATTAATCTTTGTTGTCAAGTAATAGGTAATGAAAAGAAATAAATAGCCTAATTAAAGGCCCATATAAAGCCAGAATGTTTGTATTCTTGCAGTGAAACATCTTTGCTAAGTAATGATTGAGATATTTTCAGGCTGCAATTCCAATAAATTAGCCCTCCAAAGGATTATTCCTAAAACCTTAGGTATGTACTGTCGTCACAATTAATGTTTTGTTGAATAAACAGGTAGAACTGTAATTATATACCACTGAACAAAGCAGTTGGAAGATTATAACTTCTGAAGAGTTAACAATTGTTACGTGAATTCTGTATAAGCTAAGGTATAAAAATTCTCCACTTAAACTCAGAATTAATGGATTCTTTTTTGATAAATTCAATGCAAATTATTGTATTAACTGCTGTTGGGGTGACTAAGGAATCGAACAGGTGACAGCATTGCCCCCTCCTCCTTCCAGAGAGTAGCCCTCTAGATGAATCCACAGATAAGTACTTGACCAAGTCAAACAGTTGTCCTTCCAAGGGAGCAGTAGCGAAGTTCCTTGCAGGTTCTTTAATCGGCCAGAATAATTGGGAGACTATTTGTATCCCAGCCTTTTTTCTTCCTGCATAGAGTTTTCAGATAACTATAGCCTGTCGGTTAGGTGTTTCTTTGGGGAAACACAGAAAAGGTTACAGTGATAGAGATCTTGGAATTGCCCAAGTAATCAAACTGTGATCATTGTTTCCTATCAGTTGTGCCAACAGACCATGCCCATGAACATTTTCGAAAAGGTCAACTGTACAGTTTTTTCATGTCATATTTCACATATTCATGTTTTCTAAAACTTTATGCCATTTCTTGACACTGAAATTTTAGAAATGGTATTTTCCTCAGGAAGTAGTATCTTTCCAGGTGTTTTAAAAGTTACATTGGTGAGATGTCAGAACAAGTTGTTGATTATACGGCATGAGCATGAGAACAACTTTTGAGATTCCTCACTTACACGGTTCGAAAAGTGTCACACACCTGGACGTGGAAGAAGAGACCACATTTACTGAACACTTCCTATGTGCTGGTGCTTACTTAACATGTGTCTCCTTAATGCTCATGACAGCTTTGTGAGGTCGGCGGCGGTGACCCCATTCCTTATGTAGGCAAATGGGAGACTTAGAATGACTGATTTGCCCACAATCTCATGGCTCATAAATAGTGAGACTGGGACTCAGAACCTGTCTTCTGAAACCGAGGTGTATACGTCATTGTTATATGGTACAA